ACCCCCCTAGATTAAAAGGGGTCTCATGCCCCCTTCCCTGTCACGGATGCTTTTACAAAACTAAACCAACCACTTATTTGAAATTGTCAGACGATCGGATGATTTGTGCATCCAATGCGGCAAAACAGTTTTTTGTTTGTATTCTGGTATGAGATAGGAACAACGTACATCAGTGGGCACAAAACCACCACCGCCTCATTATCAACTCAGTATCAAACAGTCAAATAGTTGTGCCGTAAATAAGTATATAACGGCAGTATTTTTTCTAGCATAGTGAACATTGCATGACAGTGAATTACAGAAGTTTGCCTTGCGTGCGAAACTAGGTTTGGAGCCAGCTGCCTGAAAACGTGGCGTTTAATATTGAGTTGTATGCAGAACCATTCTTGTTTCCTCAAAATGTAGTGTTGTAACTGAGTTTGAGTTGTACGCATAACTAAAGTTTAAGTTCTACAAAAGAATTACAGCTTGAGTAGTATTGAATAGGTGAAGATGTGCGTCGGACCTAAGGTGAATTATTGCATATGTTGTAGATGTTGGTTGCGGTATGCAAAACAAGACTCTTTTTTAACCGCTTTATCTCATTAGGGGTGATGTCGAAAATTAGTAAATTTAACATTTGAGATTCCCCTCACCTCCTTCCATTATATTTTTTTATAAAATGACAAATTTCCTACTCTGTGTGTCAAATACGGAAAACTGTTCTATATTTCGTCAGTAAAAACAGGCCCAGCGTAGTGCAAGCACAAGGTTAATCTTTCCTTTTCCTTGTGTTGCTCTTGCGTTAATGGCTGCGCTTATAACTGCGCTTTTGGCTGCGTTTATGTCTGCATTCCTAGTGAAAACGAAGCTTTAAGGTGTTTGAGTTGGAGGCCCTAGGCACGTTGTGTTGCTAGGTTTCATTAATGTAAAAAGTGACTGCTGGATTATCTGCTAATAGGTTGGCCTTGATTTTGGCGAAGTCCAAACTAAAAGCTCCTTACCTAACTTTGGGAATGAGAATTAACAATACGTAGAATACTTTTGTACATTAGTGCTTGCATACCCCTTTTTATTTCTCTTTTATTTGTTTCCTCTGGATAATAAATTATTAATCGCAATTATAACCTTGGCGATGGAAGTTTCTAAATTTTCCTTTTTTTTTTCCTTCTCAAATTAATTTCTTGAACAAAAAACCGGAAGAACTAAATGGCTTCAGGAAGCATTCTGATATCGCTGTGATTTTTTTTTTTAAAACATTGAACGTGTGTGTACGTACTCTTTGAAGATTCCAGAAATTACTGTAATGTCAATTCATCGCGTCATAAAATAATTGCTTATTAGTGTGTTTACTGCACTGGGCAGGAAAGGGGGAGGGAGGGAGGGGAGAGATAAGGGGTACGTCACTAAAATGTTTGGTACAGATTAAATAAAGCTAATATTTTTGAAGGGAATTGAGACTTCTGGAGAACAACCTTAGAAGCATACGGGAAAAAACCAAAGAAAAATTCAAAACACATTTGATGAAGGATCCAATATAATCTACATTTGATATCGGATTGCCTATTTTTAGGATTTGTAATAATATTCTTAACAGGGGGTAAGGAGTAAAAAAAATTTAAGATATTCAAATTCAGTTTATTAGGTATTCATRCCACCTCAAAATGAAAGTTTTAATTACTCCGAAATGCTGTTATGATAAAGTCTTTATGGTATGTTGATTTTAATTTCATGTTAATATAAAGGATTATGAGTTTGTTTTCGTCGAGATTTTGCATAATAGAAGACTATGATA